TAATCTCATTTCTTAAATTAGAATTATTTTGATGATACAATTCATAATTTCTTCTCTTATTATCACTGTCATATAATTCAAAAGAGGTTTGATCTCTAAAATTTTAACTTAAATACTTATAAAGGCTATAAATTTCATCATAAGTTTTCTAAGTCGTTCTATAATATGATGAAGATAGTTTCTAAGTAAATCTTTGAATTTTTCTCATGTCTCATGTAAAGTTTCTCCCAATCTTTAAGTTAAACTCTATAATTTTTCTTAAGAAATAAAATTTTCAAAAAAAGTTATGTTTTCTCTTTCTAACTAATTAATTCTCTATCTAATGTGGATAGACAACAACTAACTTTGTCCATAAATATATGAGAAAATAATTTCATCTTAATAATTTTTGATATAATTTGAGGGAGATTAACTAAATCATAGACCATATGAAATTTTCTAAATGCTAATAAGGTTTCTTTAAAACAATCCATGAAAATTAAGAAGTATTTAGAAAATTCTTAGATTTATTCGAATTTAACAGTGGGTGCTAATTAGAACTCTAATATTGGATGCTCATTGAAATGAATCAAAGACATAATGATTTTTCATGACATAGGATTATTCTCAACTAGGCCTGCACTACCTTCAAGATCCATCAAAATTAATTTTATTTTAGATTTTTAATTTCAAAGAAAATTGTGAAAGGACTTTTTAGCTTTAGATGTGAGAATCTTCTACCATACATAAAAATCAATAAATTTGAGAAAAAAGTTTAATAATCTTTACCCTCCTTCGGTATGCTCTAGTCCTTGCCTTACTACTCTTCATTTTTTTTATTAAAAAATATTATGTAAGAAGAAAATAAAAATAAGAGTTAATTTTATTTTTTGTACTCTAAAAGAAAAATAAAAATATATCAAATATTATGTAATATATCTCCTACAATGGCGTCAAAATTTGACGTGACTTAGTCATTATATAGTAAATCACCTAAATTTAAAATTTATAAAACTAGAAAATATCGATTTTCAAATATTTAGAAGTATTTTTGAATAAATATATCAACTATAATTCAATAAAAATTTTAAAAATAGTAAAAACATTATAGGTTGATTACAAGGATGTAATATAATATCAAGTAATACTTTAAAAAAATTCAAAGAATATAATTTTTTATAAATTTCAAAATAAGAAAAAAAATCTTTAAAATTCACAAAAAAGGAAAATAAGGGGTGTGGACATTAGGATGATGTCAACACTTGATAAATGTCAATCAAGTGAAAATAGAGTTCATCTAGTGATTCTTACATAAGTGATTACAAATAATTTAATTGGTCAAAATAAGATCTCTAAAAGTTAAAAAAATCATAATTAAATGAAAAGTAGTTTGTAAAATTTAAATCACACAAATTACCTCTAAATGAAGAAAAAATCAAGTTGAAAGTAGAAAAAATAAAATTTTGACTTCGCGATGACAATGTGTCAACATTGTATTTGAATCTTGAGCATTTAGGAGGATTGTCGTGTAGTGTCTATACCTTTGAAGGCTCTCCTTAGATAAAGATGATATGGACAACCTCTAGATCTTCTTGTGAAGTCGAGAGATCAATGAAATGAGTCATTGAATCGTCTCTGGGACCTATCACTTGATGGAATAGAAAAACCTAATAGAGAGGAGCTAGATGGAGGCAGGGCATGTGTTAGAAAGTAAATCTGCGTAGCAAAAGGAGGTTCTTTATCACACACAGTACGTTCTCACGAGGTGACGAGTCATCTCCTGATAGATTGTCCTCTTCTCGATGACGACTTATTTGTTGATCAATTGAAGATGTTTTACTCAATAGATTTGCAATTTTTTTATCATGAATTATTCAATAATTTTAGTAACAATGCTTTACAAATCATGCTGATAAGATTTTTGTCAATGATCAAATGATTTTGACAACTTAATCATTAACTGACAATCTACACAAAAGTTGTAATTTAATTAGATAAAAATATGAATTTTAGCTCTAATAAGATTCGAACCTATGCCAATAGCCCACCTATATTAGAGAGAGTAAAATAAGTACTCTAATATTTTTATAAAGTGACATCATCATAGTATATCGTTGTTACAAAGGGTATTTTAGGTATTGAAATAATCAACACCATTCTAGAGAAGGTGTGAGGTGGGTTTAGTCCCACATTGGTTGTATGCTGAAATTTTGGATGAATATATAATAATACTACTACATTTAGAAGTAATGAGTCACTTTATTGCGTGTGTACGAGCACTCCTTTTCCCACAATTGATTGGCCACTGGTGACGTGGAAGAGGAGTGGCGCACATGTGTCCCCATTAGTGCATAGTCGCTCGAGCCCCTACTCATGGCTCTACCCAGATTGCACTTTCGACTCACTTACCGACCTAGCTAGTCGGCAAGTTCCCCCCCTCCTTTTTTTTATCTTTTTATTTTATTTTCTTTTTCTTCATTTATCTCAAAAATAAGATTATAAAAATTATAAAAAATTACATAAAATCACATAATTAGCTAAAATTTTACATTAAGTAACTGAAAACTATTTTTTATAATTTAACATAAATATAAGTCTATTTATTATGAGTTAAAATTAAATTATATTATTTATTAATTATTAACTCATGATAATGAAGACTTATCAGCTCATATATTTTCTACTAATACTTGAGAATAAGGATCATGAGATTTTTCTTAAATTTATTCTACTAGACTCTCCTTGTTGAAGTCTTACTATTTGATAGTTTCTTAAATTTTCTATATTGTTGTCTCCCTTCTCTCTTATTTCCAAAAGCCTTTATAAAATTTATTTCCTCCAACATCATTTGGTTCATTGTTTGCTGCATTATTTTGCTTAATTGCTATATCATATCTATACAATCAGGTTGAATTTGAGAGGGCTGATTTTTCTTAAAATTATTTTTCTATTTTGGATGAAATTTAAATTTTGAATTGGGTCTAAGTGCTTTCAGATTTTAAATATTATTTTAAAAGTTTCTTATTTATTAAAATTGTGAGTTACATATCATTGTTCTTGCATAAATTAAAATGATTGATCTACATTATAACATTGAAATTCTCAATGATCATTTTCACCATACATAAGGTAAGTACTATTAGAGTAGCCCATTGGTCCCATCAAGCTTATTATGGACTTACTCTCTCCACGTCCCTATTCTTCTTCCACGATCTCTACTTCTTCTCTCTCTCTCCACTCCATCTTCCTCTCTTCTATATAACCTCATGTATTCTTCTTTTTCAATATATAAATTCTAGGGTTTTCTCTTCTTCTCGTCAACATGGTATCAAAGCCATAGGGTTTCTTCACCACTGCCACTCCACCTCCTCTCCTATCTTGATGTCACATATCCTCTCTGACACAATCTCTTGCAATGCCACCTTGCACACCTACCTAGGGCCCAATCAACATAGTCTTGTACGTCTACAACACCTCCTACCATGCACACCTACTACCCATCTAGCACTTGTCTAGTGTCGTCTTGCACACTTGTCTAGTGTGCCGCCACATATGTACCAACTACAAGTGCATGTGCACCGCGTGCCACCTCTCGGCACCCTACATGCCACCTCTTGACACCTAACATGTCGCTTCCCGTCACTTGTGCGTCGCCTCTTTGCTCCCTCTACGTCACCTCCTAGCGCCCTATGCATCACCTCTTGGACCCTGCATGCTACCTCCAGCACCCCATGTGGCTCCGAGGACATCCCGTTCCAACGTCATCTCATCTCCTATTAATCCTAATCTATAGATCTTGTGGGCAACTCCTTGATGTCTCAGGCACTTTCTCCACTAGTTCTTTAACCAGCTGTCACTCTTACTCTAATCAGGTCAGCTATTCTATGGCACTCCATCATAAGACAACTTACAGGACCAGCATATATCTTCAATGGATATAATTATGTATCGTGGGGCCTTTCAATTCGAGTACTTCTTGACATCACACAACCTACTCCATCACTTGTCAATTGATATGCTCGGCCTCACTAATTTGTCATTTGTTTCATGGTTTCAACTCTATTCAGCCATCCTTACTTAGATGCTTTAGAGTATTAAGTCAAATATTGTCAAGCCTCACACCTGGATTTACCTTGTGCAACAACTCTAGATGACATTTGAGAACATACATCAATTAGACGAATATTAATTAGATGGTCGAGATCTTTGAGTTACTTCTTGCCTATAAGTAGGACAACTCTTCACTTCAAGCTCATTTTAGTCGTCTCTATGTCCTAATACAAGGGCTTGCCATCTATCTGCCTTTGACCATTGACCTCTAGACATTCGAGCACTATTATTAGGAGTTTCTTGTCGAAGTCTATCTAAGTAGACTTCACTCATCAATTATCTCTCAGATTCATGTGATGATCCTCTCTAGAGACTCAGTACACAATATGTCTCACATTTTCTCCACTATACTTAGTGTGAGTACAAACACTCCTACTATTGCTAGTGGCACATTTACTCCTTCAATGATGATCGTCTCCACTTCTTGAGTATCACATGATCCTCTTACTTCAAGACCAGATAGTGGTTGTCTACTATGAGGGAAGGGCCATAATTCTTTTCCTCCATGCATCCACTACCACAAGCAAAATCATCTACCTGACAAATGTTGAAACAATTCAAGAAGCTCAACTTTGCCCAATTGGCTCTTTTGCCTCCTTCACTAACTTCTACAATACTATCTAGTGTCCCATCTCTAATTTTTCAGGTGACATTGACCTCCATTGAGTGTGAAGCACCATGTTGTTTTAGTGATACTATGGCTCATTCCTCTACAAATTTGTCCACACTTTTGTATCCTTCCATGTCAGATACACACACTCTCCTTGCATCTTCATTTTCACCATAGGTTATTGACTCGAGGGCCTCCACCCACCTAATCGGCATACCCACCATTTTTTCATCATACTAGTCTACCCCTCATCATCCACTAGTTATCATTGCTGATGGCCGAACTTGTTCAATCAACAAATATGACAATACCATTGTTACCCCAAATATTCCTCTCACCCAAGTTCTCTATGTTCTCGATTTTTTTGCTAACCTCTTATTTATCAATACCATTACTTGAGTCATCATTTATTCCGTTACATTTTTTCCTTTTCATATACCTTCCAAGATCTATATATTGAATAGAGGATTGATTTGGGGTGTGAGAATGGCCAAGGTGTCTATAAGTTAATATCCAATGAACCTTTTTTGTCAAGGTGTCTATAAGGACTTTCAAGCCTTTTTTTTTTCTATATGGTCACTTCATCTTTTTTGTGGCATTGTCATGTAGGACATCTTTGTTTTAAAAAACTTCAAAAAACCTTGCCTTGGCTTTCTCTTAATAAGTTTGTATGCGAGTCGTGTTAATTAAGTAAACATCATCATGGTTCATACTCAAGTCGAGACGGAATTTCATCCACATCACCTTTTGACCTCATTCATTGTATTGTTTTAGGCCTCTCTTGTACTCCATCTATCTTGGATCATTGCTACTACATTGTCTTTGTTGATGACTACACTCGGGTGAGTTGGGTTTATCTTTTCTAAGATCATACTTAAGTTCACACCATAATTGTTCACTTCATTACCAAGGTCATCACTTAGTACTTTACTACGTTCAAGATTTTTTGTACCAACAATACTTTAGAACTGATCTAAGACTCACTTCATATATTTTGTGATGATCATGATATTCTTCATCAAACCATGTTGCCGAATGAAAAATATTACTAACTACTTGACATTACTTGCACACTACTTATTGAAATGATTGTTCCTTATTATATGTAGTCTGATGTTCTTCTAATAGTCACATATCTTCAAAATCGGCTTTCTTCCGCTCCACTTGGTAGAGCCATTTCACTTCATCGTCTTTCACTCGATTTTTCACTTTTTTTCTTATCCCCTCATGTCTTTAGATGCACTACTTTTATCTAAGACCACTCTCCTTCTCTTTCTAAATTGACCTCTCATACTCTCAAAGGAGTCTTTGTTGGTTACTGATAAACACAAAAGAATTATCGAATCTATTTTCTTGATACTCATCACTATGTGACATCAGTTGACATTATTTTTCATGAGTCTCCCTCCTTTTCATCAATATCAACTCCTCTTTGATCTACTATATCTTCACCACCTTATTTTCCTCCTATGGTGATCATTACAGATCCCTCTCTTACTCTTCCTATTTGTTCAATTTCTCCCTCGTTAGCTCTTCTTTTGACACTTTTAGCTTTGTTGCCATCTGACTTCTCTATTCTGAAATCGGATTTGTCTTCACCCTTTGTCGATGACCCTCCTCTAGTCATCTCTTCTGACACTTAGGTGGATGACCTTCATCTTCCTATTACTCTCTAAAAAGGTACACGTGCATGCACCAAATATCCCATTTCTCACTTTATTTTCTACAACCATCTTTCTTCTTGTTTTCGTATCTTTACTCTTCCCATGGCCTCTGAGTCAATTCCATAATCATATGTTGAGGCTACATAGATACCTAAATAGAAGGTGGCCATAGATTAGAGGTAGATGTCTTGGTGTCTTGGAGATTGGACACTTGTATCTTGTCCACTTGATGCTAACATCATCACATGTAAATGAGTTTTCACACTCAAATATAACCTAGATGGATCAATTGCACATTACAAGGCTCGTTTGATTGCTCGTGAGTTCAGCCATATGGCATTGACTACATTAAAATGTTCTCTCTAGTGGTTCGACACAATTACATTCGAGTGATACTCTCTCTAACAATCAATCAAGTATGGTCTTTATACCAATTGGATGTTTCCAATGCCTTTCTTACGATGACTTTGAAAAATAGATGTTTATGTAGCAACCTCCTTTATATGTTGCTCAATGAACACTATTGAAGGTGTCTTTTGCAGCGTGCCATTTATGGCCTTAAGCAAAGTCCACGTGTCTAATTCATCAAGTTCAGTGGTCTCCTTTGATGTAATTTGAATTCTCACCATATTTTATGGATCTCATAGTACCTACAAAGACTACTGAATTTGACATTGTCATCCTAGCTATTTATGTGGATGACATAACATTTTCTCAGTATTATATTACTTCAATGTTGTATCCTCTTGTTTTCCATAAATTCAGCTTGTTAAAATTTTCAATACTATATTAAATAACATTTATTTGAAGAATCAAACGTAAAAAAAAATAGGGATCAACATATTTGATGGTTCTATATACCATCTGGGTTTTAGCTATAGTATAGAAATTTGAAAATAAGGATTGGCACCTTTTGCTTGGACAAATCAAAAGCAAATTAAAAAGGTGAAGATCAAGGAACATTAGCTAATGCTGAATTTTTCTGTAGTTAATAATAGAAGTATATCATTAAATAATGACAATGTCCTAATGAGTGTCTTGTCATCACAGATTTTGCAAAAATCTTTGTTCTCCCTTACAATAAAGAAAACATTTTATCATCTCTCACGGAATTTTTCCAGTTTTGATCAATTAGCTAATTTCAGACCTTTTGGAAATAAAGTGTAGAACGCCTGAAAGGCACCTTTAGCTAAGACAAAATTCATAAATAGTTAAAAAGGTAAAGATAAATGAAATCAGATAATTATCACTTTTTTGTAGTTCATCTAAGAAATATATTATTAGATAATGACAATATCCCAAAATGGAGGGCTTTATTGGTGAAAATTTAATCAAAAATCGTTGTTTATTATTTAAAACATGAAAGGCTTTTTATTTCTCTACACTATCCCTTGACTTTCTCATAAAGAAAAAATTTAATTTTCATCAGTTGTCTACTGGAAATGAGAGAAGTGGAGTAGAACTCTTGAATGGGCGAGGCCGTGCTTTTTTTGGATTCAATACCTACCTCCATCCAAGAACTTTCTCCTAGTCTCCAGATTTCCCAGCAGCTAACAAGTTAAGCAAATCTCTCTCTCTCTCTCTCTCTCTCTCTCTCTCTCTCTCTCTCTCTCTCTCTCTCTCTCTCCCTCCCTCCCTCTCAAGATTAATTTACATATGTATATTTTCTGATTCAGATTTCAATTTTGTTTGTAGTTGAGGTTAAGAAAGCAGGAAGCGAAAGCTTCCAGGAGCTGAATTGGTTGGGCTCTTGAAGAACTCTAAAACTGGAGATTAAATCACTCTCCAATGGGAAACTAAATTTTTGAAAAATTCTTCACAAATAGTATGCATTCCTTCTAAGAATGGACTTTTTTTCTGCTGCCATCCTCTCACTTATAACGGGTCAATCTAATAAAATCACTCCTCTTGCGTTGTCTCTTATTGAAGGACCTCACGGGATGAAGAGTCTACTCAACTTCGCTTGGGCTACTGAGTCAAAGAACTGAATTGACCCAACACTGAATGGGATCACCGTTGGATCAACTGGCCGATAAGCCTGACTGAAGTTTGATACAATCTGGGCCATATATTCTATATCAGATGGCCCCCCTTGTTTTGACCAATTCGGGCCGCAAAGTAAATTCAAGGAGCTCACATGGGTTCGATCGCTGAATCTATTTGTTCTGATCAAGATGCAATAATTCCCATGCCCTCTCTGTCTGTCTGTCTCTCTCTCTCTCTCTCTCTCTCTCTCTCTCTCTCTCTCTCTCTCTCTCCTCTCTCTCTCTCTCTCTCTCTCTATTATTAGGAGGATTTTTAGAAAGTAAAATATGTATTAAATAACCGAGATTTTTAATGGGTATCTGTAAGGGTAGATTTTTGAGCCGCCAGATCTGTCCCAATAAGCCGGCGAAAGTCAAATACTTAATAATACTGCATGAACAGTCTAAAATCTGCCTAAATAGAAAAATTAGAGTTACCCCGAAGATAGCTAGTTATACTGCTAATTAGCATTATTACGCAATTGGATACATTCCCATAGAATAAAAAATTATTATTTCCCCTTGAGTTTTTTTTAGCAATGAAATTATTTACCGTTGACCCACACAAAAAGCTTGGTAAAAGGGCCAAGAGATATCTAGAGTCAACCCACACACACTCCTATCTAGGCTAGGATCAGCCCAGAAAATGGCATCTGGAAGACGTTTAACCCACATGCAGAGTATGGAAAACGAGAAATTAGACTTAACACAATAATTAGACAAAAAACATAAGCTCTTTTAAATAGATGAAATCAATGCATCTCTGCAACAAATGCAGGCTTATAAAGATTTCTGAGATGCACATTACGTTGATAAGGCTTCAAAGTTGGATTTTGCGTCAAGATTGATTTTCATAAAAATTATGAATCAATCCTTTTTCAATTAATAAAGCTAAATACATATTTTCAAAAATCAAGCCTTTGTCAATTAATAAACCTAATTATTTTAATTAGGTTTCAAATTTTTATTCTACTCCAAGATTATATTTCATGAAAAATATGAATCGGTATACAGTTCATCAACTATCAGAAGTATCTATTCATCTAGTTTCCTTCCTCCCAGAACTCACTCCACCATCATGTTACAGCATGAAACATAAAATATATATGAATTTGTGAACACCTGTCAGATTCTCTGGTAGGGTAAGAACTGAGGAAAGCCCAAAGATTTAGTCCCATCCATTCCAAGTATGGAATTGGATCGACATAGCATAATCAGAATGTCATCCTCAAAGAAAAGGCAATGCGTGAAAGGCTCACAGAGGCTGAGAATTTCTCTCTCTCCCGAATCTGTCAGGTAACCTCCAATTGCTCCGAAATATCTTTTATAGACAGACATCAGTTGACTTATTGCACCCTGAAGCATTGAAAAGAATGGTTCAAACATGGTGACGAATTCAGCCTTACTGGTGATGGAAAATATCCAGCTTAGAGATCTTGGGATGCTCCTATTAAATGTCTAAATTTGATCAATAATCCAGGATAATAACCTCCCATCCAGTACAGGACGGATACCTTACATAGATAGAACAAGAAATAGGCAACAAAAATGGAAATGATTAGCTTGATCCATACCTCCCCAATCTCTAATGAAGGCATATGAGGAAGAAAGTCATTGCCCACAAAAAAACACATAAATACAAACTCGTCAATCAATAACTCGCTCAAAATTTATATCAAATGGTGGATCAGGTATTTGATGATCGTTCTCCAGGTAAGGAAGTTCAGATGTTGAGAAACTGTCATTACAAAAAAGAAACTGAGGAACTTCAGTCCAATAGGGCATAGAAGAGAATTGGCACATAAGAAGAACATTACGCACCAAAAACTGGTTTTACAGTCATCATTGAAAGAGAGAAACGATGTCAATTATACTGAAAGAAGATTTATGCAACAGACTAACAAAACACTTCCTCATGACTGGGGGATTGACCTTATACACGCTGCTGTGACATCATTCTGAGATATTGTCTAAAGACAATCAACTGCCCTCTCAATAGACCTGGTTTGCAGGGAAAAATCTGTGCAAACACGGAAAAACTTACCTGATATTTCTTTTTATGAATTGGGGTGTCATCTGTTATTGGCATCTCATTTTGTCAGCCGCTGTGAACGGTGGGTTTTAGAGAAATAATTACCAGAAAAGCACTCATCTAATGTAAATAATTTACTAACAAGCAGATATCCTGCATCACCCCAGAAACCAAACCAATGGTCTTCCCTGTGTGTTGCATTCTTTCTATGAAAATAAATAAAGAAAGAAATTCGTCCTCGAAGCTAGATTTTTGTGAATAGGTCTAAATGACATCATATCAGCGAAAAATGATCCAACTAGTGACTCTTCTATTCTACTAGTTTTTCCTTTGCCAAAAGTGGGACCAAAACAAATCGGATTCAATAAAATCTGCAGAATGCACCGATTATATTGGTTCCAGATATAAGAAAAAATATTTACATCGATTGGGAAGGCAATCCAATTTCTTCTATACAGCATTAAAACCCTGAAAAAGCATCCCCCCCATCTAGTGAATACCAACAAATCCAGTAATTCTTAAAATATATGGTCCTAGCAAACATGGTTCTAAGTTTGCCTCGCATGGGCACAATATTGCCTTTTGATTCAAGGTGACTAAAATATCATCCCAACAATAGTTCTTGAAGAATTGTCAAGGCAACAAGGTAGCCCAGACCTCTGTGGCGTTTGGCTATAAAATCATTAGATGAATAGCATTTGCTCCCTAGGAAGCTCCTTCTCTCAAGAGATCTGCCAGTTAGTATACTATAACAAAGCTATACAGTAAGAAATCATGAGTCACATTAGTGAACTTAGCTACAGGTAGAATTGGCGTCGGATAAGGACATGGATTGGAGCATGTAGGTGGCTTATTCAATGTGCAGACGTTGAACAGCATTTGCTCTTGTTTGGTCTATTTATTCCTTGGAAGCTCCTTCCCTCACCTCAATAGATCTGCCAGTTATCATATTATTACAAAGGAGAAACCTCGAGTCACATTAATGAACTTAGCTATGCGGTGGATTATTCAATGTGCAGACACCTGGGCAATCTGGACAGAGAAAAAAGAGAATTTTTTTAATAGGGGAAATGGTATCTTTTAAAGGTGTTTGGTGAAAGGTAAGTGAGATTGGTGAGGATTGAAGAAAGAGGGCTCAATTATTTTGGGTTATAGGTTATTATTTTTGATCTAACGCTAAAGTGAGATTGGTGAGGATTGACATGTTTTTTTCAGACTGTTTTGATTTTACTTCAAAATCTGTTCTAATTTTTGCAGCCACAGCAACTAATTTTCAAACTGATTAAAATCATTAAAATCATCTTAAATAGTACGAAGTTTTCTCTCTTGAATGTATGTCTACTTGTGGGTTCATGTTTTTCTCCTTTGTGTATTCAAAGAACTACAAAGGTTGAAAATTTCTGATCTTGTGGATTCAAGATATAATTTTTATGCCTTATAGATTCATGGGTCAAAATCCTCGACTTTGTGAAAAATAATTCGAAATAATTTTAAATAAACAAGTATAGTTTATGAAAACTTACCATCAGAGCTAAATGCGATAGAGAGTGGACTAACAGAGGGAAGTCCACAGGGGTATTTGTACAGAGGGAGTCCAGAGGCAGGGCTCCTCCCCTCCATCCGGCGTCCATGGAGCTCCTGGCCTCTGGTGGAACGGTCTCCCTGATGGCCCCACAGGTGGGAGACCTTGAGGGGAGTAGGGTTTTCCGTCCGTGCTGGAGCAGCCTCCTCTCTGTCTGCGGTGTCAAGGGGAGGTCCCCAAAGGCACGGTCCGCCTTCGCTGCGTCGCCCTCTTCCCGGGACGCGGGCAACGGGGCTACGGTGACGTCGCCGGGAGCTCGCGCCGCTGCTACTTTCGCTCCTTCTTTCGAAGGTACTCTTTCTGCTGCTGCTCCTCCTGCTGCTGCCTGGTAGGTGCTGATGGCTACCTAGAGGGGACGGCGGCCGGTCCTTTTCCGGCGGGGATGTAATGGGCCGGCGAGTATCCCATCACATCTCCTTCGCGGAAATGGTCCCAATTTTTTCGACCGATTTCTTCGCGGGATGGGTCTGGGCGTACGATGTATTTTACTATTGCAGTGATTCTCGTCGCATGATGTTATTGGGGCTGATTGACACTCTCTGAGATTTACTCAAAAGTTCATGCTGTACATATTGGATGATCTACGTTTTGCGATGCTCCAGCACCTCGCATCGGGGAGGTTGAGAGGATCACGAAGGAGACGAGCGTGCAGGTTAGATTGGACTTGGATGGATCAGGAGTCGCCGACTGCAACACGGGCATTCCCTTTCTTGATCACATGCTAGACGTAAGCATGCCTTCTTTTTTCTGTTTTTGGAGTTCTCACTGAGAATAAATCGTTCAAGTCCACAGGTAATAAAAATAAGTGCATCTTATGAATTGAAGTTTAAACCATCTTTCTAATCATTTTTTAGGATGACCCCAAGAATCCAATGATCAACTGCATACACTCTCGGCATTTTGAGTAAAATGATTTCTGAGTGAAAACCTCGACCAAGTTGGCAGGCTTGAGCCATATGTTGTATTGGATGAACTTTTCTGTTGTGGTTGAGACAGAGCCAGCGCGCCCAGTAGAAGGTACATGTGAAGAAGGGGTTGGGGTGAGGTAGTGATGAACTTCTTGATGCTGTATCAACCATCCAAAGCTGCTCAATTAATGTAAAGAATAATCGGCCGAATAGTAGATATCCAAACCCAAACTCTGAAGCTGAGTAATGGGATAGGGCACATTTTTCTGTGAGAAAATGAATGACTTTCAGTTCTATTCTGAGTATGAAACCGCTACCATCCGCATCATGTCAATCAAAAGCCCTGGCAAGAGGGATTATCGTTGTTCAGTCATTGTTCAATCAGCCATCAATTCTATTATAATTGGGCGTCTATGAACAAATATTTTGTATTATGAGAAAATATTTTATAGTTGCATAAACCAGTTATCAATCAATATTCGTACGGTGTAATGATTAGTTATCGTTGTTGCACAGCAAGCATATGGCAGAATGCTTGCTACATTCCCAAGCCTAGCTGCACTGATGCAAGCATGTGAACTCAAGGAAATTTTATAAAGATCAATTATCAGGATGCTTTATAATTGATGAATCACCGATCATATTGAATAATAGGTCAATTATATGCCTCCTATCATTTTCTTTGATCATATCATTATTCTGGCCTATCGAGTGGCATGCTTTTGTATGTCTAGTTTCAATTATGACAAAATCAGCAAGTTTTTTCTGGAACTCCATGAACTCCGTTAAAATAAATTGGACATGTCGAAGTTTGAAGAAATTGGACTTTCTGATGACAGGAGAGCAATAAAATTTTGATATAAGATGTGTTAAGTCATAGCCAATTTCAATTTAGCATTTCTGCGTCTTTGATTTAATAATGAAAAAGAAAAGGTTTCAATCATTACGATTGGTCCACGGAGCAAGATTTTTTGTCACTTTGTTTTATAATCTCAAGTTCTAGGTGCCCATAATGCTGAAACATAGCCTACTCTTAAATTCTACAATACCTTTGCAAAGGGTTAGGTCTGACCCCTGCGACCCAACATTAGGCGGTTTTTATGAGTTCATCTTTCTCCAAAGCCTTTATTCCATGATGTTTTCAGTTTTTTCTGGAGGTAATATCTTTTTTCACTTTATTCTGACGAATTATAAATAATCAGTGTCGTCTGATATGTAACGTTTACTGGACATAAAAATTGCATTGGGCAGCAAATAGCATCACATGGCCTATTTGACTTGACTGTGAAGGCTTCTGGTGATATCCACATCGATGACCATCATACGAATGAAGATGTTGCACTTGCGATTGGAACAGTAAATTTCTCTCTCTATTTCATCTCTCCTTTCTTTTTTTCAGAGTGTACAGTTGCTGCGAAGCATTTATTCTTTTTTCCTGTGAAGCTTTTTTTTTTTTCTTCATTCATGGAATCTTACTTGTCCTTTTGCGTTATTAGGCACTATTAAAAGCTCTTGGGGATAGGAAAGGGATTTATCGGTTTGGAAATTTTTCAGCTCCCCTTGATGAAGCTGCTGTTAATGTTATACTGGTAAAGTCTGGACTCTTCATGTAGACTATGAATTATGAAACTCCAAGCTTTCCGTTTATGATAAATTTCATTTATTTTTTTTCGAAATGTCTACATGCCATTATTTTTTGTGAAAGTTTTAGCTCGTAAAGCTGAAAAGATCAAGGTCCATAAACCTGTGGTTGCTGAATTCTCTTCATGAGTATATTTTTTATATTTTCCTCACTGAGATGATATTTGTTTCATGATGAGCATATCTCAGATGTTATTGATGATAAATCATAATGAGTCCTAAACATGTGATTTATTATTTCGGAAATTCTTTTAATTCCAATCATTGCAACAGGATTTATCGGGTCGTCCACATCTGGCGTATGATCTTCGCATCCCCACAGAGAGAGTTGGGACTTATGATACCCAGGTATGTCATTTCTCATTTGTTTTTGCATGAGCTTACCGTTTCTCTTAGATAATCACGCTCAAATACCATCATTTTTCTTCTAATCCCCTTTCCTTTTACCTTTCATTAAGCCCGTTGAAGTGTATATGGTTTATTACTTCCATGCTTCCATCACTATTGGCCATCCTGGACCCCCCTTAAAGCAGAAACCATCAGGGCTGGGTGGGTTTTCAAGGGACTAAAAAAATGAAGGCATCAAAGTCTTTATTTGGAACCTAAAAGTTTTTTAATTAGGGTTTTTTTGTCATTGTTTTTTTGGAAAATAAGCTGATGAAATCAAAATCTGGCTTGGGCTTAATAGATATGGGGTTGGACTCCGGTTCTCTAAGGTAGATGGAACCAGATGGTTGGAAGAAACAAACACCTATCAGCATCTTTGGAGTTGAAACATTGGGAATTGATGGAAATATGTGGGAAGTTTAAATGAGATTAAAAATTCTTGATGCCCGTGGCTTGCACCCAGGGAATCAAAACCAGTTCTGCTCTGTGAAAGAGTAACAAAGATTTACAGGTAAATCCGTCTTTCTTTACTAATTGGTGAGAGACAAGCGACCAGGACAGATCTGCAGAATCCTCCGCGACCCATATTCTTACTTTAATGGAGGAAAGCAAGCTGTGAGATCACCCTGCAGGAGATTCAGTCAGTGGTGGCCGGTGGACAGAGCCATGAACTAGAAGGGGAATTGCCTCCCAGAAGAGATCTTACCCAAGAACTGATCAAACTACCCGCAACTTGGAACAATAATCCATAGAAAATAAGGATTGGAGGAGAAGGATTTAACTTGCAGATTAGATTGCTAGAGAGTAATCTAGCAATCTTCCACTAGTCCCCAAAATTGTCCTCTGATCGTCCTCTTGGTTGCTCTTCTGTATTCGACCACTATTGATTTCATCTGAAATGATTGAACAAACCTCACTTATTTATTCTGGGTTTTTTTCTCCCCCCCAATTTGTGAATGTATATGGCGCGTTCTCATCAGCTGGTGGAGCACTTCTTTCAGTCTCTGGTTAACACATCTGGAATGACGCTCCACATCCAACAGGCGAGTGCTTTTTCTTTAGAAAAACCTCCGTTGTAGATATTTCAGTAAATATTACTGCAATCCCTTTGTAGAATGACAAAAGGATTCAATAAATATTATAATAATAAGAATAATAAGAATATTTACTGATGTATTGGTGGTATTAAAAGAATATGGTGTGCTGCAACGGTCCTAACAGGATTTTATGTAGAATTACGTTCAAATCAGAAAAAAAAAATGATTCAATTTCATGAATTCATATTGAGTTCAGCACATTTTATTATTATTTGCGCTGTATATAAATTTATGGTGACCTGGCCTTTGAGACTGCTGTAGATTGTAAAACTCCTGCAGCACTCCCACCGTTGCTGCTTAAAGACAGAGATGGATGATGAACATTAGGGTTTGGGTAATCAATCCTGCTTAAGAAATGCAAACGAATCTGCTCTCTGGTCGATCGTTGGCCATATTTTGCATGAAGAACTGAACTTAGATCTGTATCTCTTTGGCCAAGCAGATGGCTGGGAAGAATTCTCATCATATCATCGAGGCGACATTCAAAGCTTTTGCTCGAGCTCTTCGACAGGCAACAGAGTGCGACCCACGTCGGCAAGGGGCTGTACCCAGGTACGTCAAGCAGCTTTAACTTTGACTTTGACTTTGATCTTCACCTCCGAAATCCGTTTCTAAAGACTGGAGCTGATGATCAAGTTCACCCACTATTTTTTAGACTTTGGAATATGCTCATGGAATCTTCAACGTTATGTTTCATCTTAACAATCTGAGTAGAAGTGCTCATCCGAACGTCACAAATGCTTGCCCAATAATAGATGCTTACATCGTTTATGTTCTTATTTGTAGACCCCTAAAGCTTCCGAAATGGTAGAATCAAACCCTACCACTAGATGCACAAATATAGTTGATGAGCCCTTGAGAAAAGAACCACATATGCATGCCCTCATAGTTTGTGTTCTCAGTTATAAACCCAGAAGATTTAGAATGGTAGAAGAATCAGTCCCCAACATGATGAGCCCTAGAAAAAAAAATGAGCCTATATGCATCAGCAGTGGTCTAGATTAGCATGGTTTGTGGTCTAATTTATAAACCCTAAAGCTTCAAAATGGCAGAATTAGCTTTAAAACATACGATCAGCTCCAGAAAAGCTCCTTAACTTAAATGAGAAATGGTCTTCATAGCCTATGTACTCACCCACCAAGACCTAAAAGCTTGAAATTTTTATATATGTGATTAGCCCTAGAAAATACCTCATGTAAGAGAGCAATATTCTACGTTAATATGATTGCTGTTCTCATTTGTAAGCCCTGAAGCTCCTGAAATTTATGTTGAAATTTTCAGACATCTGAAAAATTATGTATTGTCTTGTTGGTTGCAGCTCCAAAGGAATTCTATCACGTTCTTGATGTCCTCAAGCTGATGAACATCATCAGTCTCTCCATGACAGGGTGACTCGTGATCATGGGACATCATCATCATCATCCATACAATCTTCATCAAGCAGTGGTTATGGTGGAGGATAGCATTATTCCTATAGAAAGAATGATGGATTCAGAGCTCAAGAGAGTGATTTTAGAGCTGAATGCTTATGTTAATTAGAGAATGCTGATCTCATTCATGGAGCTGTAAAAATATCTTCCCCTGATGGTACATTGAGACCTTAAAACTCCGACGGATGGGCTCCCTTGCCACACCCTTTGCATCCGAGGTTCAACCTCACTGGCTCATACATTGGTGGTGTGGGTCCCTGTCTCTGTTTTCTATCGGGAAAACACAGGGAGAGAGAGAGAGAGAGAGAGAGAGAGAGAGAGGGAGGTACATCTACAATAGTAAGTTTTCTCTTCACCGTGAGAATCTCACTGGAACTGACTGTAATCCTCTTGTCTCTGAGGAGGCCGCAGCTTGGGCTGATAAACCTTCCTGAACTCCTGCTGCTGCTGCTCCTGCTGCATCTGAGGCTGCCTGGCATAAACACCATAATTGGCAATTTCTGACCTACTGAAGCTCATTCCCACAGGATGCCCACCAGGCTGCTGCCCGATCCAATTCACCGGAGGCCGTGGCGGCGGCAGCCCGGCACTCTGGACAGGTGGCTGGTTTGGCCAGAACCCAACATTACTCTGTACTTGCAGCGGCGGAGATTGAGGCCTCGGCCCTCTTTGTTCTGCAATGGCCAAACTGGACATTTCACCTCCCGCATAGAAGTCGTGGCCACTGTACCGTTCCACCATCCTGTTGCTCTGCATGGCGACCGGCGGTGCCACCGCCCTGAAATTTGGGGCTCCCCAGGTGTTCGAGTGCTGGAAGTGGCTTCTCTCCTGGCCGAAGAGGCCGTCAACGCCAGATGACCCACTGGGCCGGGCCTTCACCAATGCCGGCCCGTTCCTGTGAGGGTAGTTGAGAAGCCCGGGGCTGCTGTTGGGCTTGAATTGCAGAGTGTTCTTGATCAGGCGGTGCGCTGCGTCACCAAGGAGCTGGCCCGAGATGGCCCCCGACACTTGTGCCCTGGAAAAACCAGAGAGATTAGCTACGAAGGGATTATGCATCTGTGGGAGAACATTGGGTTGGGATTGAGTGGTGGTGATTCGGTCACAACAGGACCGAATTGGGAATTTGGGTATCGGAAGTGACCGATTTGGTTGCCACGTCGATCCCATCAGCCACAGTCAAGAGATTAGAGAGAGAGTAGAGAGAGAGAAATGAGATGTCATGAAGAAAAGATGCGCTGTAGAGTGCTGCTGAAAGTGACACCTTTCTCTAGGTTGATGCCGTCGGCCGCTATTGTCTTCATGCCATAGAACAGGGAAGGGCTTGATATCATGTGGTCTCAATATCTGTAAAAAGAAAATAACAAGAGAGATGCCATCATTGGAATGGCTGAGCAGCAGAAAAGGCACAAGGATGTGATGCAGTTGAGAATTTTCTCAGGGTTTCCCTAATCATCCATGGAGAAGATATTGAATAGTTCAGATAACCATTCCACATCAAGCACATGTTGATTGAGCAAGTCGTATGGACATCTATAAATAATAATATCATTAAAATGGTGTCGTATTAAATCTCCATGGCATAGAAAATATTTTCATCGATTATGCAAGAAATAATAAAATAAATAACGCTTGATTCACGGGACAAAATTTTGTTATTGAATCTAAATATGGCATTAGACAGGTGAAGCGTGTCCTCAAAGGTTGATTTAAAGGACTACTAAAATAAATCAATCAATTTCAATGAAACTATAATAAGATTCTTCTTCTGAAAATATTAATGATTTCTTCAACACCAAACCAAAAAAAAAACAACCAAGTTTGTAATCAAAACAGTTGAACATCGAAATTCTGTTCAAATAGAAAAAGTAATATTACCTCGAAGATATCATTCAGGTAATACTGTTAATTAGCATTATTATGCATTACTGTGTACTCATTTCTTCAATTGGATATATTTCCATAGAAGAAAACATTCTTATTTCCCACAAGTTTTTTTATCAATGAAATTATTTACCGTTGATCCCATACACCAGCTCGGCAAAGGTCCAAGAAATATTTAGAGTCGACCCACACTTCTATCTTGTGTGGGATCAGCCCAGAAATGGCATCTAGAAGACATTTAACCCACACGCAGAGAATTACAAAAAAAAAAATTTGGCTTAAAAAGAATGCATCGGGGAGAGTAACAAACAGAGCAGAGACCTCCTCGGTTTATCTATCATCTCCTTCACCACTCTTGGGAAAATCAACAGAATCCCATACTATCTGATCCTTACATAAACATTCCATGGCCAAGCCCCACATGAGCAATGTATTCTACCCATTCCAACTATTATGCAGTTAAGATTATTCAAATCTACTGCACAGGAAACCTTAGTCCAGTGAAAATGGCAAAGTGGCCGCATATGGGTCAGAATGCGATCATTTAAATAGGCATCACGTCGCTAGAATTAGCAGATTTGGAAAAAAATCTGATTATGCTTGATATGTGTATAATTCAATATGCAGGCCAAAATATGAACAAAAGCATCATTAACTTTTAAGTCCTTATCAACCGGTTATAGATTTCAAAATTGGGGAGGTTCTTCAGAAGATTACCTTCGGTGGCACAATCACACCTTCAGGTGGTTCCGGGATGTGAGGGTGCTCCTTGGGATTGATAAATGTAGCGTTCCTGAGCAGAAGAAGAGAAAAAAAATATGAAGTCATCTGAAGATTTGACCCAATTGAGACAAGGCCCACCGCAGACTCACCAAGCATAATTGTTTTCAAGGCTTCTCAACCCGTTAACAGGGGAGGAGACGACCTTTCTTAGCTCATTCCTCTCAGAGAGCCAAAGAAAGCCGTTCATTCCGCCGCTACAAACAGCAAGAGAGTCAAAACGATGGTTTAAAAGAAGAGAAAATTGGGTGGATCATACCAAGCGTGCCATGCAAACCTGAGATTGGTATCAATTGGAAAATATGAAGGATGAAGTTGATCAAGAAGGTTGGCGGACTGATAATTGTATAGTGAGATGATCTGAGCAGCTAAAGGATGGTTCTCAGACACGTAAAGTATATCAAACATCATGCTATTTCGGATCCTTTCTTCTACCTAGAGAAGACAGAAGACAAAAGGTAATGAAGAAAGCTTGACAATTAGGAGTACACAGAAAGCACATCGTTAGAAAAGACAACAAAAATAATTAAGCAGACCGTTAATGTTTCCTCAAGCTTCTTCGTTTCAGAAAGCAATCGTCTTTCATCAATGAATGGAAGCTTAGCAACACCCTATAAACAGGAAACATACTCAGAGTCATGTTGAAAATTCGACATCATTACGAAAATAGGCAAAATATCCTTAGAATTTAGACATTAGTTACCTGCCATGCAAATCGTTTGCCATTCATGTCTATCTGAAAGTCTACATAGAAGATGGCGAAAACGTTCAGACAACAAGAAAATGATGGCTTATATTGAGAAAAAAACAGGGAAAGTTCCTAGATTGAAAGATCAAAATTACCTTCCGGATAAAAAGCTATTATCGGTGATTTCGGGTCAGTCATCAAAGTTCTGTAATGAACTGGTAATGCACTTGAACTGCATGAAATAGTTTCCAGGTTGTCAGGATGGAAAAAGCTATCTGCCAATGCAGGATACTCGCATCTCTCACTCTTGGAAGCAACATTAACCAATGGTAAAACAACCTGGCAGCGGGTAATGTTCCCATTAGCTGATCAAATGGCTTAAATGGCTGTCCTAGGAAAAAAGTAACTTCCATATCAGCCAAACCTTTCAGATCAGAAGCAAAAGGGGCATAATGATATGGATAATACCTAAGAATAATAAAAAAAAATATGTTAGAAACCCACGTGATCTGATAGGATCTGGAGAACCAGCAAATAGAAATGCATTCTGAAACTACTATTATTTCGTGAGTATTTATCATAATATCCCTCCTACGTGGTTCGAATTTTCGAGTGCTATAATTTATTATACAGGCCAACGTACAAATGAGTAGATGTTAATGAAAAAACTCTTGACTGACCATAGCCATGAACAGACACCCTGGTAGTAATACCGCATGACCCAGCAAAGGCCTTCCACATATTTCAATACCTGTTGAGACAAAGTTATATACCCATTAAACTTATGGAGAAAATGCAATATAATATCATCCAAAAGGTGAAGCATTGCAGGGTTTATGACAAAAAAATGGCAAATCATTCAGAAGAATCTGTATAAACAATAATGTGGGATCATTAAACGGTATCAATTCAACTACAAATTATAATCCTTTTCATAGATGATGCACGGGATATGAAGCAAGCTAATATGCATTCTTCACAGCGGAGTTGCTAGATTACAAAAGAGGTTTCATAATTGTCAGTGGACGTATGCAGTACATCTTCTGTAGTAAACAAAGAAATTAGGGTGCAATCTAGTCGCCACACCCATTGAGATAAATTGTAGTTTCACTAATAATAGTGGTGATGAATTTTGCGATTTATTCAAGGGAACATATCAACAGCAGGTTAGAAAATTACAGCGTCTGAATTTCCCAAGATGAAAACAAAATTTTCTTGCGAGTATAGTCAATCAGAATATGCAACTGCTGCTCACTAAAATATAGCCAACTCACATAAAAGCTGTTAATCATACTCTTGGCTGATTGAAATAGCGTCCTAGAAAACCACTTCTATACACTAAAACGTAATCATTTTGTGATTGAAGGCCATATTGAGTACAAAAACTAAGTATAGACCTTTAGCGAACAGATTAGTCAAGATATCCTAGCTTAGAACATTAATCTTCAACTAAAAACTCTCGTAATAGTAAGGAAGAAAGGAATTTGCAGACAATATGCACAACATGACAAGACCGAACACAAAGATCGGTCATCATCATACCGGAGAAATATTGGATTATGGGGAACAAATGTTAACCTTATACATATTTAGTGTATGAGGTCAGTGGTATGTTTACAAAAAGGGTGACAATAGCCCAATTTGTTTCTACCCTAGGCAAGTTGAGTGCGACAGACATCAACCCTCAGCTTGAGGAAGAGTATAATAGCAAGAAGCTGCTTTTTATTTGCAAGGGAATATTAGTCTTCTGGCCTTTTTAGGCGACGGTTACCTTCGTTATGCTTTTTTACCCTAATAAACGACATAATTTTCCCAGTATTATTCACTTCCGTGCCTCGTATTCCTCTTATTCTTTTTTTCTTCTCTCTTCAAGTACATTCGTAGCCTTCTACAAAATAGGTATAACCTTGCACACAATTTAAATCGCAACAATCACCTCAATATCAAAATCTTAGTTAAAGCAAAAATGTCATATTTTCAACCAGACAGAACTATGACATGAATCCTCCTACGTGAACAAAAGGTTTGATTACACCAAAGAAATGTTAAATAAACTAGCAAAGTATCAGTACTACTAAGGCAATGAATATATATATATATATATATTGCATCATTTCAGATCGAATCAAAGGTATTTTGATGCATCTTAGCATCTGCACACAGATAGTACCAAACCTTGGGAAGGGATGCAAAAACAAATGCATCACATATATCTGGATGTAACAGCCAGATAAGATCGGCGATCAACGGTGACTAAAACCCAACTTGGTGATAAGATCAATGATCCATGATTGCACAGCAATCTTTCATTGAATATTTTCAAGGATAATGATAAGTAAACACTATATCAAGCTTAATTAAAATGATCAGAATTCCACAATAACTTCGCAGAATATGACCATTTCTCTAGTCTTATAAAGAGCTGGAGAGATCCAATTATTACAATCGAGCCTGGAATAACAGTTGCAACTTTCCAAAAAGGTTAAAAATTATCAGTGACGAGGAAAATGGATCTATATAGGAATTACAAGTGATTTCGGTTCAGATGCTGATGTAATGTAGGATGAGATAGCTCTCATTCCAATGAATGGCTAGGTAGGTGAGATAACAAATCAAAACAATGTCCAAATAGTGATTAGTTTAACTCATTGGATCACACCTGGTCTGGGTTAACGGACTACAGAGACTGTGGTCTTGTGAAAGAAATGAGAAATGTATGAGTAAAGTCTATAAAGTCTTCTACGACAGTGGGATCATAATTTCCACTCCAGTGTCGGAAAAGGCCAGAGGAAGGATTCCATCAAAACTTAGGTCTACCAGTGAAAAAGAAATACCTTATTTCAGGTCTACCAAAAAAATGATCTATCAATTCCCCGTGATAAAGTTTTCTTCAATAAACAAATATAACAGTATGCTGCCTGTCTCCAGTCCAACTATCTGGAGCTGACTTAAAGCTTCAATAAATGAAAAGAAAAAGCATTTTTCGATTAAAAAAAAGTAGAAACGAATTCAATGAAACAGCCTGCAACATATTTTATATACTACAAATTTTCAAATTTATTTTTAGGCATAAACTGAGTAAAGTAGCAAGACATACAACATCCTGACGGATATCCTCAATCTTCTCATCCTTTTTGTCAAACTTCTCAGTATAATAACATTCTTTGTAGCCTGGTTCCCCTAATTTCACCTGCAAAATACAGTCACAATTACTGAAACAAGAAATAAGATGCAGAACTGCTATTCAGAGATGATGACACATGATTAAGTGTAACTAATGAGTCAGCCCACTAAAGGACGAAAGAAGATTCGATCAGTAATCCTTGCGGCTCTGTTGTGGTCCACTGGAAGCCAAATGAAGCACAGGAAAATAGGAACAAGTCCGGATCTATTATAATTACCATTTCTTATGTCTACTCACGACTAGGTTACTTTTTATCCCCAAACCAGCCTTAAATGTTCTACAATAGTTTTCAACCTGCAGGATGAAAACCCATCTCTTCAGGTTATTTTAAATTTATGCACGAACTTATAGGGGATTATACTCTGATAAAGATCTGATATCTCTTCACAATATTAACTTGGCAGTTTTGTAGTATGCTTCTGTCGCATGTGCTCCTTTCTATTGTACTATGAACGTCTAGAGGACCACATCAGTTTAACAACAAAGCATGATCGCTTTTAGAGGAAACATAGCATATATGCACCAGGTGATACTGAAAAAGTGAAATAAAGTTCAACTCGTCAATTACATCCAACAGTAGCCAACGTTTTGGAGTTCTGATCAGGGTTTCCAGAACAAAGTTAGTAGCATAAATGTGCTGGTATCACCTCAAGCATTGACCATTCACAACAGTTACACGTTCCTATGCAATTTTTGATGGCCCTGTCCAGCACCGAAATTTTAAGACCCCGCAATGGTAGTTCATGTCTAGAACTGAGAAGAGGAAGTCGCAGGAGAGAGAAGCAACGGTTGATGCATTGAAACGTCTTTCTTAGTTGGTCTCTAATGAGGATTGAAACCAAAATTAGGAACCAAAATGACAAGTCTATATCATTACAGACATTCTGTTGATCGATGCACCGAAATATGTTTTTTCCCCTTTCGATTGTAGGCCTCACATTATATCCCAGAGGAAGAGATAGCACATGCCCCTTTCACCATGGAGTGGTTATTGAAGAGTCGACTTGATCTAGAAGCCATTCTAGTAATTATTAATCACATCTCCAAGAAAATAAAATGGAAGGGTTACATAAGCCTAGAAATCAAATATTCATCTACATATTTCAAGACTGTCTAATTGTGATGATGATAACACTCATTTCTTATAAATGCCCACAAACATTCTATTTAGCTAGCGTGGAACACAATTTTGACATTTTCTTGATCATCTAGTTATTTTCATGATTATTACGACCAGCTGATTCTGATTTAGTCAAGGTCAAACCAAATGAGCCAATTCCTGACAGTATTACCCTCATTTTCTAAGGTCGCGTTATCACTGCGGTGTGAACAGGGAAAGAAATTATAAAGGAAGGTTCGGCCCGTATTAAGTTTCGAAGAGATAGTTACCAATCTCCTAAATTTAAAAAAAAAAACTTTGCAATTTTCAAAAAGTAAATTTCGGTGCTATTCCTAGACCTTTACTAGCTCATGTCTTTCTCACCCAAGACTACCCCTTAATCCTCTATCTTCTCAGGTTCCTCCGGCCCAAGAATTTGATTTTGGGTTGACTACTTTCTGACCTTTCATTCTACTGACTCCCAGATGACTTCACGTAAGAGCCATGAATTTTCATATAATCTTCTCAGGGACTAATGAGTCCACCAACTAATGGAATTTTCCTCTACTGAAGAAACTACAAAATAGAAACCTATCAAAAGAAGATTAGAAAGTATAATGAGAGTTTGAAGTGACTTCTTAACTCATCGATCTCATATATATCAGCCCATTGTATCTAATTCACTGCCCAAAAAAGTTCAATTTCCATCTTCGGTTTGTAACAGTTGGAAGTTGGTGACAGTTGAAAGTATCAAACATTTTTTCAGTACAAAAAGCTGATAACGGAACATAAAGTAAACGAGTGGGACACAGCTCTCTAAAAAGGAAAAAAAGAGTCTGGCCGATTCCAGGTGCGAAATATTATGGATCCACCATCATATTTAATGATCAACTCAGAGTGTCCGGCTCCATTCCCAATCATATCTCCTCCATGGTAACAGGAACACATCAATTAAAGATGAATGCCATTAAGTTCCTCTGTCAGATCTGACAAGAAAAGAGACCCGAGTAACAGGGTTCCATGTCTTCCCCCTTCACACACAGTGCATGACGCGTTCACGTGATCCAGATAGAGAGCTAGGAGATCGCATGTGGACATAAGGCTCTCAGAAAAGCATCATTTTCATCGTGCTTGATTTCTCTAGTAGCAATGAAGAGATTTTATGAGCCACTGGGCTTTATTGGAGTCATAGAAGAATGTTTGTAAAGTTTTTTTCTACATCACGAATGTAACAGAGATACTGAACAACCCAGAGCCACTCACTTCCTCCATTATATCCTCATTCAACATTATAACTTGCCCCTTCCTATGCCCTCATGCACAGAATAATTCATCCCCTTAACCCAGTTCCTAGTTTCTTTTTGTCTCTCTGCAGTCACCCGAGTAGCCAGATAGAGTGATCATTGATAAAAGGATTTCACCACCCGGTGGTGAAACACATCCTGTCACTGGAAAACAAAGTAGAGGTTATAGGCGGAGGTCAATTCAAAGAACCAGGATACCATCGTTTCTTATAGCATGATACCATACAGAGACGGGTTAATGTTAATGGAACGTTCCCCATGGAATCCTAAGAATCCTATCTCATCTTCCTCCACCAACTTATCACCACCAAGCCTGCTCGTTCTACCTCCTGCTTCTCAACTCCTCCCAACCTAAGAAGAATCAAAAACCAATTCTGGATCAATCTAGTCCCATACATCTTTCTAAATGCTCTGTTTGTCAACGGACATCTTATATTAATAATCCCTCAAATAATCACCAGGTGAAGTTAGCATTGCAGTTGTGCGGCAGCTGCAACGCTGACTGAACTCCCTCTTTGACTCTATATTGAATAAGAGTGGTGACATATCAGGATCGCCTAGGCTGTCCTTTCTTGTTGTAACGCACTAGTCAGAGGAAGTCACAGTTTGAGTTTTATTGATCTAAACCTGAAAAAAAAAGGTATCAGAATGCTCATTACTTTATAATAACTTTTATTTCTACTCCCATTTCTTACACGAATAGGAGAATTTCCTTTTGTTCAACAATGTATGGAACCTGATGTTAACGTAGAAAATAAACAATGCATACAGTTTAGGAAATGTTGATCTTAATGCTCCAATTTGGATTAGATCAAGTTGACAAATTGTTGTCAAGGAAAAATACCAACTCACCCGAAACATCGTAAAAAACTGTAAAATCTATTTTCCTCGATTTGAAGGGTATATGAAAAATATTTTAATAAAGAGAATAGATACAGATTATTTTACAATGACACTTTGACAGTATACTACCGTTTTATTAACCACTTTCCCCAAAATCAAACAAAACCCCTCAGAAAAATTCTCATCTTTCAATGTTTGAGCTTTTGCCATTAATTATTTTCCCAAAGTTGGGCACCTCTTTTGCCATTATTTTTTTTGTCTAATAGCACTTCCTGACGAAAGTGACAACTTGAAAATCAATAGCATCAATCACCGGTTCAATACTTGATGAAGAGGCCTTTTTAAAAAATATTTTTTCAAGGGTTAACTGTTCCTGTTTTCCCTCGAGCGTAACATCATGTTAGCTATAGGAGAAGGAAAAAAAACCTTGTTTAATGTTGAAATCAGAGATCCCCCAGAATTTTCCCTGTTCTCAGCAGCCTGAAATAGAGCGAAAGTTATGTTAGAAAGATAGCTAGAGCACAAGAGAAAAAACATGCATTTTTTTCTTCACGCACTTCTGAACAGGTTTTCATTCGAAGCCCAAACATGCCCAGAGAAGATCATGCGAGAAGAAATGACCATAACATGGCTGAAAGGCTAGTAAAATAAATCTCATTTTGGAGACAAATTACCTGTTGAATCCGAGTACGCTTCCGAAAAATCTGATCTTCATGGATGGCAATTGACTGTATAAAATATTCGACTCTTTCCAAAATCACCTAGAAAAAGGAAATACAAAACGACTGAGCCAATTGAACATACTAAGTCTTTGAAATGAGAAAACAGTTCAGGACTGGCAGAAGCATGAGTCTGCAGAACTGTGCATTACGGTGATCTGAGGGCTCCTTGATATTTAGACATCAATGTGAGAACCTTTAGCTCTTTGAAAAGTTAAAGAAAACCCACAGTGAGACCCCATATATTCAAGCAGTTTTTTAATAGTCAGCCAAAAACTTCCATGTGAAAGAAGTCTATTCCATCATGCTGAATAAGGGTATTAGATGGCAGGAAATAGTAATAGATATGCCCACCTCCATTATGAAGGAATAAGAAACGTGTCCAAGATGGTAGATGCAAGGATGATTCTTCCATTGTCGAAGTGGAGACCAGTGAAGAGGATCCCATGATATCAACAAATGAAGAATATGCAATCTAAAGTTAATGGAATTCTTGGCTTCATGAGCATCGGAGATTTCAACTATACGGATAATGGATATAGACGTTGGGAAGTGAAGAAGAATTATGAATAAAAATGGTAACTGGAGTGTGAAACTTACAGCTTAGCAATGTTTCTAAACTATGGAAAGATATCGCACAAGTTACTGATGTGATGAAAACAGGAACTAATGTTTGTATAGAAAATGGTCAGAAGTTACTGTTGTGAAACTTCACCACATCAAGAGCAATTTCATTTGCTATATGTCACAGTGGAAGAAAATGAAACGTTTGGGCCAGAGGTTTTCAATACCACGATAGGTGGTGCCCAACTTTATGAGGAAACTTGTGCGAATGTCCAAACATAAACACACACCACTTGTTTTTCAGTTTAATAGGAACGCCATCCGGTTCAATTTCATTTTCTCTCTAATGTTTAGTACCTTTTCAATATTTATTGATTTATGCGACAGTATCTTATATTGTCTTGAATTGACAACAAAAACCTAAAACCTGAAAATATAAGAACTCGCATAGTTGAATATCTTTTCGAAATGTTTTCACTTCTGCCAAGATTCCTCATTCGATACTAAAAACGCCTGATCCTCCCTTTAAATACATCCAACACATTGGAGATCTTTACTTCCCCTCAATGCATTTCCCATGTTTTTCAAATATCTGCCTTATTAGCCTCTTAAATTTTTCTTTGCCTTCTTCTGAAGTGAATTTTTATGTTCATCTAACAGTTTACTAATCATCTTCATTCCATACCATACCTCCTTTTTATGTTCATATCATCGAAATCCACCTTCCCATTCTTTTAGTAAAATTTGTTAGAGCATACAATATTTGTATTGGTTCTGTCTCAACTTTCCAATTACCCTATTGTGAGATCTTCCTGAATGTCTTCATTTCTTCTCTTCATACTCAGGATCCCCTTTTTTTGGTATCAAGCTTCCCATATGCCCTACCTAGGTATAAAGCATTATCATATTTATGAAGTTCGAAGAAGACTCTGATAAATCTCGCATCAAGACGTACTCAAGAAGGAAAAAGCTCCAAGCTTCTATGGGTCAAACCTCTGCAAGTGGATGTTAGCATCCATGCGAGAAGGGGAGGGGCTGAGGGTTATAAATAAGGAACTCAGCTGTATATGGGGCAGAGGAAAACGATACTTGGTCCTAGAAGTTTCCAGGGATCATCTGCCTGCTTGTGGTCGAACCAATTCGTCTCCACAACTCAAACCCTTTCCCCCTAATCCCTGTTTCCTATTCTTCTTGAAAAGAATCCTGTTCTTTCTCTGGATCAAGGTTCTTACCAGGCTCTCATAAATAGCATTTCAATTTCAGCAAATTAGACTACCTTCCTTCTAAACAGAGAAAAAAATGAATTCACTGACTCATTAGATCCACCCCCTAGCAAATACTAAATAATTCTATGTTCTTGACTGAATATCTCCCGATATTAAATTTATATCCCAAGACAAAGTCCCAGATTGCATTTCAATCTGCATTCTTCACATCATATGCACGACCATTACACACGAATGTAAACTCATTATTTTGATCGTTGCATGTACCAAAATCCCAAACGTTTGCATTTGCAATTCTCATTACTCCTGCTATTTTTGAAATCTGCCAAAATTCTCCTAGTTACTCTGGTCACTTGACTTGCAGAGAAAATAATGAGTATATCTACTTTTATCACTATTTTATTCCTACAGCTCAATCAAATACTCCGTTTACATTGATGAAACACACTCATCATTCATTGAAATTGGATGAGCATCATACACATTATCGCCTCGCAGCAGTACATTTTTACTACATTTTTACAACAGCAGTACATTTATCAAGCTGATTGACACCCTATGAATCAGCTAATATGGGGACCCTTCAGTTGAAATTTCGGCCCTACTTCACCCTTAATCGCTACAATCGCAATAGCATTGTAGAGAAATCCAATCAAGCTTTGCCCACTGCATGAGGATTCAACAATTATCTCTTATTATATTGCCTCAACTACAACAATTTAGGCCCAATTAGTACCCGTTAACTTTTCATAAACATACATGTAATTAGGGAATCAGTTTTTCCTTTTTTATATAGAATTATAATATGTATAGAATGCATCCCTAACTCTCCCACCAGCTGGTTTCTCGACTCTATCTTCCTACCATGTGGCACCTTGTGACTCCATCTGCCACATTGTCCACCGACATCTCCTCTTCCGCTTGTCTTTTCTTTTCTTTTCTTTTATTAATACTTAAAAAATACTCTAACACAACAGCATGAATCAGGCTGGCCTAGCCCAAGTTCTCAAAAAAACACAAGCCTTTTTAAATTCATAAACCTAAATACATATTTGAACCGGTTTTTGAGATTATAAAGATTTTTGAGATACACATTATGTTGATTTGTTTCAAATTTGGCTTTTACTTCAAGATTGAATTTCATAAAAAATATGAATCAGTATGCAGCGTATCAACTATCAAAAGTATTTATTCATTTAGTTTCCTTTCTCTGAGTACTCACTTCACCATCATGTTACAGCTAGAAACATAAAATACATATGAAGATGTGAACAGTTGTCCGATTCCCAAGTAGGGTAAGAGCTAAGGAAAGCCCGAATATATATTGCCATCCATTCCAAGTATAAAAGTAGATCTCATCTCAAAGTTGGGAGAACTTTGTAAGGCACCAAAACATAATCAGAATGTCATCCTCAAAGAAAAGACAATGTGACACTAAAAACTTCTGTAATTAACAACAAATTAGCTAGTCATAGATAATACAATTGATCATAAAATGTACGGCATGTGTTGACGTCAACGAAACAATTTTTATGAATTGCAATGAAACTGAAATGCTCACAGATGATAAAAAATTCTACCTCTCCTGCATCTGTCAGGTAGCCACCAATTGCTCTGAAATCTCTTTTATAGACAAACATCAACAGATTTATTGCACCCTGAAGCATTGAAAAAAAGATTTCAGCACATTTACAAATTTAGCACTTCCAGCATAGATGATTTATTATTCTTATTGGTGATGGAAAATGTGCAGCTTAGAGATCTGGAGATGCTCCTTTAAAATTTCTAAATTTGATCAATCATCAAGGATAACAACCGCCCATCCAGTAGAAGACAGATATCATGTAGATAGAACAAGAAATAGGCAACAAAAATGGAAATGCTAACAAAATGGGAAGAGGAGCTTAAGGCATAGACCATTTTATAGCTTGATGTGTACCTCTCGAATCTCTAATGTAGGCATATGAGGAAGAAAGTCATTGCCCACAAAGAAACACATAAATACAAAGTCGTCAATAACTCGCTCAAAATTTATGTCAAATGGTGGATCAGGTATTTGAAGATCGTTCTCCAGGTACTCTCGTAGGATCCAGATGTTGAGAAACTGCCATTACAAAAAACAGACTGAGATAACTTCCACCAAAAGGAAAGTTCAGTCCAATAAAGCATAGAAGAAAATCGGCACAGATCAAAAACATTATGCACCAGAAACTGGTTTGACTGTCATCATTGAAAAAGAGAAATGTAAAAGAGTTATGTGAGATATACTGAAAGAAGATTAATACAACAGACTAACAAAATACTCTCTCATGACAGTGATTAACCATATACACGCTGTTGTGCATCATTCTGAGATATTTTCCAAAGACAAACAACAGCCCTCACTATAGACCAGCTTTGCACGAAATTAATCTGCACACACTTTGAAAAACTTACCTGGTATTTCTTTTTATGAATTGGGGTGTCATCTATTGGCTTCTCATTTATGTCAGCAGCTGTTCCCCTGCAATCAGCTGCGAAATGGCCAATTTGACCACACACAAAGCATTTGTCTTGCTGACCTGGCATGGTAATCACCTATAAATCAAATTTGATATTGTCACGGCACGTCAGATCATCACTTAACTATAAATTCGCAAAAAAAATCTTCATCTTGAGATGTCAATTATGTATATTTTTTATTATAGAAACACTGACCTCCCTTAAAATTGAGAAGTGGATCTCATGGGTTGCCAAAGAGAGCATAATCAGATCTGCATCCTGCGGACGAGAAAACATACAAACTAAATCGAGCGAATATACAGCATACTAAAATTATCTTCTCATTGGAAAAGAACAGAAAAGTGCAGGAGAAGATGGCACATACCAGTCCATACAAGCAATGTCTCGTATTTGGATCAAAACCTGGAAGATTGCGTTGTAACCGAATGTAAGACATAATTTTGTGTTCGCCTTCACCAGGGACATTTGAATCCGACAAGATAACCTTCAAATAATCACCCAACGCAGAGCTCCATGAATATACAAAGAGATAGAAGCATCCTGGAAGCAATATTCGAATAAATAAAACCAGAAAGCATTATTCCACTGAGAGAGGAATAAATCCAACACTACTATGGATGCCATTTACTTCAGACAACTGGATTTAGACCTTCATGAGCTGCCATCCAGGAGTGCGATTCAGCCTCTTGTGCACGTAGTATTGAAGTGCAACAGAGAGTACAGACATGAACTTGGTTCCAGGAGTAATGACATTTGAATCAGATGTCTCAGTTTTCTCCTTTGCAGATAAACTTCTACCTTCAGCCTGAAACTCATTTCTTAATCTTTCCTCTTCAGCTTCCTGACATGTTCAAACAACACATAAGAACTTGGTTCCACAAATAAGAAGGACAAATGGATCATCAACTCGCAGAACATCCACACCCTCAATTACTGATAGCCAAATACTCACCGCTTCGGCCGCATCCTTTGCAGCTCTGAAACGCCTAGAGCGCTGTTGGTTCATTTTAGCTCTTGGAGCAACACCATCTGCATGAACTCCCAACAAATAAGTAAAAGTAAGATAGAGAAGTTGCAATAATGCACCATACAATAGGTCAGATGAATTGAAATATCAACCATAAGAAAGTTCAGCAGCTCACCAATGGCCATGTACAAAAGTTTTCTTGGGCGCACTAAGCTGACTAAATGGTCAATGTAGTCAAAGATAGACTTGAATACATCATCGTAGGTGGAAGGTGCAGGCTGCATGTGAAGAAAATAAAATTTAGATAATGAAAACACACACATACAGCGGCTTTTATCATCAAAGTGCTCATCCAATGTAAATAATTTACTAACAAGGAGGTATCCTGCATTACCCCATCATCAAAGTGCTCATCCAATGTAAATAATTTACTAACAAGCAGGTATCCTGCATTATCCCAGAAACTAATGGTCTTCCCTGTGTTGTACTCTCTTTCTTTGAAAATAAATAAATAAATAAATTCGTCCTCAAAGCTAGATTTTTGTGGCATAACTAGTGGTATTCAAGTCAAACTTATTGTGAATTGGTCTAAAAGATATCATATCATGAAAAAATGATCCAACTAGTGACTCTTCTATTCCACTAGTATTCGTTTTGCCAAAAGTGGGGACCAACACTAATCGAAGTCAATAATATGTAGAATGCACCAATTATTTTGGTTTCAGATATAAGAAAAAAATATTTACATCGATTTTAAAACTTAATCAATCCAAATTCTTCAATACAGCATTTAAAACCCTCAGAAGCATCCCCCCATCGAGTGAATACCAATAAATCCAGTGATTCTTAAAGTATATGTTCCCAGCAAACATGATTCTAAGTTGACCTCGTGTGGGCATTATATTGCACTTTGATTGAAGGTGACTAAAATATCATCCCAACAATAGTTCTTGAAGAATTGCCAAGGCAACAAGGGAACCAAGATCTCTGAGGTGTTAAACACTTACAAAACGGAAACTATAGATTTAATCAGACACAGTTTGTTGACAATAACATAATCTTTGTAGGAGATGAAAAAGAAAAAATTAGCAATATGAGAAACATCACATAAAGAGAAATAGGTAATGAAACCCAAATATAAGATGGACTACATAGCTAAATATGGGACGTAATGGAACACATGTCCTAAACATGCACCCAGAGCTGCCTACCATGGACAGAAAGTTCAAAGTAGCAGACTGAAAAAAGGATACAACAAGAATTGACTACCATTTTTTTTGGAGGAATGGGAAACCAAAATTTTTAAAACGGCCCAATAAATCTTCCATGATCAAAGATACAAGTAGCAATTTCTAGAGAAGGAACAAAATGTGAAGGACTCAAGGCAGATGATAATTCTACGAGAGATAGGATGGTAAAAGATATAAATCAGATAAAGAAGCAAATGAAACCTTTCCCCTGCTTGTTAACATTTATATAACACACAGGAAGATTTTTAGAAAAAAGATTGCATGTCTAGCTTGTTGGCAATGTTGGGCAATTGAGCTTTCGAGAAAATCCTCACTTATTCGGAAAAAAAAACTATCAAAATATAGATTTCAAGTTTATATCATCACATATAATTATGTTTGATGGCCAACCTATATCAGAATAGATTAATGTAGCATAAAGCTATAGATTTATTTTTTGAGTATATCAATAAGTATTCTTAACAGGATATGATTATGGGAACTTTTGAGATAAGTGTTTCCATGTTAAACACCCTCAAGAGCAACTCCAGACCTAGTAAGCTCATTCTCACAGCTTTCAGCGATATAAGGATACCAAGGGAAAGGGAAGAGAATGGAACAGCGCTAAAGGCAAGCGGCTGCACGAAACTAAATTTTCATTTATTTCTCAAATGAAACAAACAAGGGACGCAATGCCAAGAGGATCAATCTCGACATTGAGTGTTTCAGACTACTGTACGTGTTTACTACCCGAGAGTCCAAACTCCTGATTCTATCCACTCTTTTGGCAGAAACAATAAGCTCCTCGGGATCAAAACAATATCTAAAGGTTTTTGCATTCTACTTGAAACCGAAGTCTCTCCGCCCGGCCATAACGTTCACTCGGAGGGGCAGAACGTGGTCATTTAAGAACAAGTATGCACAAAATTGATCTTATACCGGGAAAGAAACAAACATTTACGCTCACCCAAATTCTCTACTAAACAGGCCCAAGAATCAGCAAAGACAGCCCAAAGAGCTTCCCGTCAAAATGCAGGCAAAGGACTCCAATCCCTAAGATCAATCAGAAGAAAGGGACGACAGCTTGTACGTACCTTTCCTTCCGGATGGAAGCAAGGATGTATAATCCCATTCATGTCGAGGTAAAGGTTATCAAATTCCATGCCGTTGGGGTTGGTCCTCGTGAGATCCACGGGGACGAAGCGACCGTCCGGGCCTTCCTCGGGTTCCTCCTCCACCACGTCCATCACCGTCAACGGGTACCTGTCCGCCAGCCACCGGTAGAAAGCTGGCACTCCCATGGCTGCAGGCGCCTCTTCGCTTCTCCGCTAGTCAACTCTCTCTTGATCCGATCCTCTATGATTCCTCGTTTTGTGAACCAAAAGAAGGGAACTAAGAGACGACAAAGGAAATCTTAGGGTTCCTCAGATGAAAGAAATTACGATCCTCGGATCGCCTCCCGGTTAGAGAGGGAGAGGGGGAGTGAGAGAGAGAAAGGGGGGGGAGAAAAAGAAAGAGAAAGAGAAAGATAGAGAGAGCGAGCGAGAGAGAGAGAGAGAGAGAGGGAGAAAGAAAGAGAAAAAGAGGGAGAGAGAAACAAAGAGAAAGATAGAGAGGGGGAGAGAGAGAGAGAGATAGAAACAAAGAAAAAAGAGAGACAGAGAGAGAGACAGAGAGGGAGAGGGGGGGAGGAGAGAGAAAGAGAGAGAGCAGTGTGGTGGAGAGACGATCTACTCTGTCCGCTATCCGAGACCGAGCCACCTTCCGACCGCCGCAACCGGTGAAATGCGGAATATTGTCTCATATATCCTCTAAAAAGACATTGTTATATACTTTTAAACGTCTATTTTTAGTATGTCTGGACATTTAACTCAATTCTAACTGAATATATAAGCAAAAACCTTTTTGTGAATATACCCCAAGTTAAACATATATTTACAAAAAGATCCCATGAAAAGTATAATCCACGCTGTCTTCGGTCGGCAATATCCCCCCAGAGTGGCCGCCCACATGCGCCACGTTGCCTGTGAAAATTCTTTCCACGTGGCAGAAGCCCCTGTCCTATATCTCTCTTTTAGCACGGGGGGATGAGGTGGCACAGAATTTATAAATAGTCCCTTTAAAACAATTTAATTTTGCCCACCTCCAGCAGGGTACGTAATTAAAAAGAAATATGATTTCCCAAAGACGACGTCTTTACAAAAAAATCCATTAAAAATTATAATCCCCAACATTTCTTCTATTTGAGTAACTCCCAGAGCGGCCGCCCACATGTGCCACGTTGCCTGTCTAAATTCTCTCCAGGTGGCAGAGAGAGAGAGAGAGAGTTTGGGCTGATAATGTAAAAATAAAGGTTTACAAGTCTAATAATTATATATTTTTATATAAAATCATTCGTAATAAAAAAAACACCTTTTCCGAATACGCTTTAAAATTATTTTCCTACTAGAAACATATTTGTCCGATTGTTTAATATTTTTAATATTTTAATAATAAGTCCAGCTCATAATAAAATATAAATAATTTCCGGTCGTGGACTGGACATTATATTTTCGGAATAAACTCTAAAACTATTTCCCAACTATAAAACAATTTTTGCCGATTTAAAATAGATTATTTAATATTTTAATAATAAGTCCAGTTTAGGCAGTCGTTTTACCAATAAAGTACAGAATTTAGGAACATAAGAGCTACATATCGTTGACTTGGATCAAGTATCTGCATAGTGTCCGGTCGTGTGCCGCCGCAGCTCGGCGTGACCGTGGGCGGCAAGGGCCGGCGGCGGCGAAATGGGTGACGTGGAGACACCGGAGGATGAGGCCAGAAGAACGAATGCACGAAACCCAAGACTTTGGGTACACTGTATCTGGACATATATTTAAATTGACTTATCTGCCTCACCGGATACGCCACGGGCCGAGGATGATCCAATCTGGACGTATATGTGGAAGAAAGAGGAAGATTCCGCCCCCAGGAAGGTGTCACGAAACCTCATATCTTAGTTACCGCCCGTGGCTTAAGCTGATTTTGAATCAACCTACTGCAAGCCGCAGGTGATGGCGGTCAACGTTAGCAGCTGGAGTGGGGCCCACTTAAAACAACTATCGTCGTCGTACATTCCGTCTCTTATATCATCAGACAGTGAGGCGATTGAAGGGCGGCCATCGAGCTATCTCTTCGTGCTTTCCCCCATCTCCAGCTCCTCTGGTTCCCCCTGGTAGGTTCTTCTATCGTTCTCTTCTCGAGACCTTCGTATCCTCTTCCTGCTGCCTGCCGCATGTGTGTTCGTGTGTTTGATCCGTGTTTTTCCTGTGTTCATGGTCTGTATTAGTTTTTTTTCTGAATTGTTCTTGTGGATTGATACGAATTTTCTTTGGGGAATTATCTCTGTTTGGGATTAACTTTCGAATTCCTTTTAGAAAGAAGACGGATGTAGCGGATTTTTTGTTCTCTTCGGTGTCAATCCCCTTCTCCGCTCGTTTCTTCGCCTTTCCTGGATGGGGCTATCGGTCATCTCGGCATCCTTCATCTGGAATTCGCAATTTCCCATGGGAGATAGAAAATGGATTCGTCTCGTTGTGTGTTTAGGGCTGTCGATTGATTGATTGCGCATTTCTGCAGCTATCAATTCATCCGCGGGAATGGGTGAATCTTCTGAGCCAAACATCGCGAAGGATGTCACCGAGGTGACATTCACTGCCCCCTGATATATATTTTTTTCTCCATTCTTCTGAACAGACTGATCTCTCTCAATCGTACGTCATCATTCGACTACTGATAACACTGGATACCTCTATCTCTCCCGCAGTTGATCGGCAAGACCCCGTTGGTGTATCTCAGCAGGGTTGTGGATGGATCCGTCGCTCGGATTGCTGCAAAGTTGGAGATGATGGAGCCCTGCTCCAGCGTCAAGGACCGGTAATCTTTTACCATCTTCTGCATTTGTTTCATCTCCTACTTTTATAAAGTTCAATGTCTTTTTCTTCTTCTTCATCTGCATTGCGCCGATACGTTGTTTTCACCTGCTGTTGCAGTATTGGATACAGTATGATCGCCGATGCTGAGGAAAAGGGCTTCATCTCTCCTGGGAAGGTGAGCCACCATTTTCTGCGGGCGATTTACTTACCAACACATTGTGCTTTCATCAGGGAAGAGCAAGGTTATAGATTATCTTTCTGATTTTCTTTCTTTTCGGAGACTACAAGTTTCTCCAAGTGAATGTGAAAGAGGAGATTTGATCGCTCTCTTTTGCTTCAGGACGTCAACACACCTCACAATTTTATTTCATTTGATTTTATTTTATTTTCCGGTTGAGATCACGCTGATCAGCTTGAGATTCATTCTACTGAATCTAACGAGAACCTGCTGCTAGAGATTATAATGCACTGCTCCACACTGGAGAGCACGCTTGCCATGATCTGAACAAGAATTCCTGTCTGATTCTTACTTGAAGTTTTCACTTGTTGCGTATTTCTCTTCAGTAATCAAGATTCCTTGAAGTTCCGCATTGATTTATTTATCTATCTATATATATATATATATATATATATATATATATATATATATATATATATATATATATATATATATATATATATATATATATATATATCTGTGCATTGATGCATAACAAAGGCCAATTTTCTCGAATCCTAATGCCCCAGATTTAGAAAATAAGCTACGAGATAGAAAAATGTTCTTCCTTGAAACTGAAATATTATGATATATAAGCTGATTTACTGTCTTGTGTTGGGCATGGGATGGATTGTTGAAGAGTGTCCTCATTGAGCCTACCAGCGGCAACACCGGCATCGGCCTGGCCTTCATGGCTGCAGCGAAAGGCTACAAACTTGTCCTCACCATGCCTGCTTCCATGTCCCTTGAGAGAAGGATCATCCTGAAAGCCTTTGGAGCTGAGCTGGTCCTGACAGACCCAGCCCTGGGGATGAAGGGAGCAGTGCAGAAAGCAGAAGAATTAGCCTCAAAGACTACAAATTCATACATCCTGCAGCAATTTGAGAATCCAGCGAACCCCGAGGTGTGGGTGATTCCTCTTCAAGATCAACATCGAGAACGTCTTCCTGTCAATCACTTAACCTATCTGAATTCCCTCTCCTGAATAGATCCACTACAAGACCACGGGGCCTGAGATATGGAAAAGCTCAGCTGGCAAGGTCGCCGCCCTTGTCTCTGGGATTGGAACTGGAGGCACCATCACCGGAGTGGGAAGATACCTCAAAGAGAAGAATCCAAACATCAAGGTACGGCATTTTTACTTTGTCCCCATTTATCCTAATTTCTCTGAGCTACTAGCCCTCCATGGCTTCTTCTTCATGCTGCATATCCTTCGCCCTGACATTACATTTTTCCGTCTGTTTAAGATTTATGGAGTGGAACCGACTGAGAGTGCGGTTCTTTCTGGAGGAAAGCCAGGTTAGCTCGTCCTCTTCTTCATTGACTCCCTTCCCCTGTGTTCTACGGGCATTTTGATCCAGGAAGCATGTGATTGTTGATGGGCTTTCCACCTAAAACCTATTCTCCTTTCCATTTTTGTACTAACCGAGAATCCCTGTTAATCTGTCTATCCCTTTGAAGAAGCTACTTAGGAAGAGTTACCTTAATTCATATAATCTGGAATAAGAATTAAGATGCGAATTGCTTCTAGTTGTGTGGCTTCATGATAACATCTATGTGGGGATGAATACTTTTGAATGCCTGGTTTACCGAACACCAGAAAAAAAAAAATTAATGTCTGATTTTACCCCAAAAATGGAAAATGAGAAATATTCGATCATAATATCGTAATATCCCTTTGAAGGGGCTAAATCAGGAAGAGTCGCCCTACTTCATTTAATCTGGAGTATGAATTAAGATATGAATTGCTTCTATTTTTTTGGTTTCATGATAACATGTAGTGTGGAGAGAGATCCAAATAAATATTTGGTTTTACGACAAAAAGGAAAATAAGAAATATACGATCAGAATATCGTAATATTTCGAATAGTAGTTCTCAATTATTATGCCAGAATCATCGCTGTTTCTGCTTTTGACATTTTTCAGGCCCTCACAAGATCCAGGGAATCGGCGCTGGTTTCATCCCTGGGGTCTTAGACGTGGATCTCATCGACGAAGTCATCCAGGTATGCATATTTCTGTTCCCAAGAGCTTGAATGCCCCAATTGAGCGATTTATTTGTATGCATTAATCGATAAATACTTGTCACCAAACACAGCAGCATCTCGTGCATCCCCTACTTTTACTTATTTATTCATTTCTATAACATCTCTCTCTCTCTCTCTCTCTCTCTCTCTCTCTCTCTCTCTCTCTCTCTCTCTCTCTCTCTCTCTCTCTCTCTCTCTCTCTCACTCACTCAGGTCTCGAGTGACGAAGCCGTGGAGACAGCGAAGCAACTTGCACTGAAGGAAGGCCTGCTGGTGAGCCGTTGAGAGCCCCGGTTGCTTCTTCGGCCTTCATCAGGGGCCGTTAATGACCACCGTTTATATTTATGTAGGTCGGGATATCCTCCGGGGCTGCGGCGGCGGCCGCCATCAAGCTCGGTCAGAGGCCAGAGAATGAGGGGAAGCTCATCGTGGTAATCCTCTCTCTCCCCTCTCTCTCTCTCTCTCTCTCTCCCTCTCGCTTTCTATGAAAGAGGCTTGTTTTGACCCGTTGAGTGTTGATCTCTGGGTGGGCAGGTGGTCTTCCCCAGCTTCGGGGAACGCTACCTCTCCTCGGTGCTCTTCCAGGCCGTGAAGAAGGAAGCCGAGAGCATGGTCTTCGAGCCCTGACGGATATTCCTCCCTCTCCATGCATGACGAATAATTCCCACCAATGTCTAAAGCGAGAAAGAAAGGGATATAAATCTGTTCTTCCTAAAATGCTCTTGAAGATCGGACAGACCTCAACCGATCTCCGAAGTCTCATGCACATTCCATGCCACATCTTCTAGCAGCTCCCTCCCTCCGATCTTCACCTTCTTCCCACCTGTTGTTGACCGCTTCTTTATACACAACGTCTAGAAAAAGAGAGAGAGAGAGAATGAAACCCATTGTAAAGTTGACCCTCTCTCGGGGGAATAGATAGCCTCCCCCCCTTTAGCGAGAGAGAGACAGAGAGAGAGAATGAAACCCATTGTAGAGTTGACACTGCCTCGTGGAAGTAGATAGCCTCCCCCTCTATAGAGAGAGAGAGATTGTGATCTCAAACCCATCTCAAGGGTAAATCTGTTATTTAGGTATTTTTAACCATTAATACTTTGCAATGTCGTTTGACAATTGAGCTAATCATAGTGGGTTGAGTTTTTGTGAGGTTAACTCTCAAATCAAGAGTTAGTATTATCCTGAAGTAATAAAATCGGATGGTTTAGTATAATATATATATATATATATATTAGTGCGATAAAATGGAATATGAAGGATAATTTGGAATAATTCGAGAGTGTTTAATAGGCCCAGCTAGTCCAAATACCCAAAGAGGCCCAACCAACGTACAGCTGGGTTACTTCAGATCAGTTAACAAGGGAGGATTGTACAGCAGGAGAAAGTGAGCGTTGGTTGTGGGCCTCAGACCAGGGGACCGCCGGTGACGAACTCGGTGAAGGCGAGGGCCACGAGGCCGAGCATGGCGAACCTGCCGTTCCACATCTCCGCGTCGGAGGTCATCAGCCCCGCGGAGCGGGACTCGGCCGTCACCCCCTTGAACAACGGCACCAGCGACGCCAGTGACAGAACCGACGCCGTCGCCACGAACCACGGCACCCCCGCGCCCTCCGCCACCTGCGCCGCGAGGCCTGTCCCCCTCGCCAGCTCCACCCCCAGTGCCGCCACGAACCCCACCATGGCTAGCCTCCCGTTGATCCTCTCCGGCGCCGGCCCCCCGAACGCCAGTACGTCCGAGAACTTGGTGCTCACCACCGCCTTCGGCCGAGCCGGCGGGGGGGAGGACGGCGACGACGCTGCATCCGAGGCAAAAGTCGAAGACGACGGGTTCTCCTGCGGTTTCTCCTGTACCAGAAAAAAGGGGAAGGAAACGCACGCCCGGGGGGGGGAAGCCCGATCTGTAAGGAGGTAGAGAAAACAGCATTCAAGCTGGGATAGGCGGCTGTAGCAATGAGGGAGGGTCCGTCCCGGTGGCCTACCTCGGCCTGGCTCCGGACCCGGAAGGAGGCTGCGCGGCGGCTGGAGAGACGAGGCAGCGCTGCGGCGGAGTGGCTCCTGCGGCTACCGGCGCTGGAGGACAGGGAGACGGAAACTACGGAGGACATGGGCGCAGCTGAGAGTGCCATTTTTCTCTCTGTTTCTCTCTCTACCGCCTCCTTCTGCTAGGTCGAAATCGGAGGGAAGGATTGCTACTAACGGCTGCTGGGTTCATTGCCTCAAGGACAAGGGGAGTTATTTATAGTACGTGTGTGTGTGTGTGTGTGAGAGAGAGAGAGAGAGAGAGAGGGAGGAAGGAGAAGAACCTGGTCCCGAGGAGGCCACGTTGGTGGACGCCAGTGACCATCGCCACGTGGGGATTCAGACATCGTTGAGTGAGATCTAGGTTTATTTTACGTGATCATTTCGCTTTTTAGGGGGGGCGGTAGGGAACGTAGCGTGTCGGTGGCTGCCACGTCGGCGTAGAGGCAACACGTTGGACGTGGTCGGCGTTGGTCCACGCGAGTAGGGGCGGCCACGGTGACGGCAGTGAAAGAGTGACCCGCTAGGAGAGGTGAATGGTCATTCCAGACATGGTGATGTCTCATACTAACGGAGCCTCCGGAGTTGTGATGGCAAGTGAATTCCACTTACTGTTTACGTATTTTTCTCTTAAATGCTTCAATTATTTTTATAAAAAATATAGGAAGACCAGATCATGAGATGTCATGTAAATGAATCTCGTGATCCGCAGTGTGTCTACTCCATTGAAGTTTGAAGAAACCTATAATGTCTGGTTTAGATTGGATATGCACCTTCATTTGCATGTGGAATTGAATCATGGCCACTAGGGTTTCCATCTCTCAACCCCTTTTTCTCTCCCTCTCAAACATAGGCAAATGAGCCTTGTCATTGATGACATCTAAAGTAAGCTTCAACTCCTTATAGTACTAACAATACTTGTGCAAATACTTTGTCAATCGATGGTCAGTTGTCACAATTTTATTTATTTTTTACTCTATACAAAGGTCTACACTTGTAAATTATGAGTCTACCCATGGGTTCCTAGGGTCCATTTTACTCCAAGACTCTGACTCATGTCTTCTAACTTTTGTTTTGTGCATAATGATCAACACCTGGTAAATGTCAACCCTTTCATGCCAACTCATATGTAAAATAGTTTATTTTACAAAAAACATTATTTACAATCTTTTAGGTTTTCTAGTTATTGTCCTTTGTTAGTGGTGATGGTTAGTGTTGATGCACTTAGTTTTAATATTACAATAAAAATATTTCTTTATAAAAAAATCATTAAATATTGATGGTTATATACACATGTCATTAATGTGCCTCAAATATTCAATATAGCTAACAAAGTTATTATATGACTTATATTTAGTGATTTGATGATCAGATCAATAACAATTGAACCTAATGTGTTAATCATTGAGATCAAGTAATTCTTCATATTAGGAATACATAAGCAACAAAGATTGTTAGCTCAATAACTATTATCCAACAAAAAGATAAGTATATGGTTACATGGTAGAAAATAAATCATTCAAATGATCTTATCTTTGATTACATATTACTTTAACCACAATATATAGTGCCTAACATTTCGAAATAAAGATAGACATGCTCACTACGATCTCTCAAGGATTAAATCATCAAAAGGGTTAGAAAATAAAAGAAATATTCAAGCTTTGAACTCAACATCTCTAAGGTGACATATCAACTGATTATGTGAATGAAAAGTCAATGAAAACTTGATGACTTGAATCTGAATTGAACATTCCACTATTCTCTATCAAGTTAGGAAACTCCAATGCAAGTTTGAATGAAAAAAAATAAGAGATTAAGAAGATTTAAAGTTTTGAATTTTCTAAGGAGTTATTGTGGATTCTACAAAAAAACAAGTATTTGAGTAAAGATTTTGAATGCTGGAAATCTTGTGAATCCAAGAATTAGAATGTGAAGGCTTATTTATCAATGAAAGCTTGAGGGCTGCAAACTAGTTGAGAATACAAAGATTCAATACATCCTCTCAAGTTATTTCAATTGCAAGCATTAACATTGCACAAGAATGTCATATCATCTTCTCTAATTGATTTTGGAAAAGTAATTAACTCTATATTCTTGATCGTTGCTATACATCATGCCTTTAAGTAACTTGGTGGTGAGAAGAGAGTATGTCAAGTGAAAGCATGAGGTTCTAATAATTGGTTTTAATGTTAGAATGATTGATTCTTTGAGATGACAAACTTGAATTGTCAATACTTGAACCCATAAATGTCAACTTGTATTTCCTAAGAAAAATAATGAATATCAAAATGAAGTTAGGTGCAGCCACAAATTGGGGCTCTAGTGGCTAAGGACTGGACATGTGTGCATCATCCTCTTCCACATCACCAATGGCCAGCTAGGCACAAGGCAAAGAGTGGTTGTAAACATGTGTGAGAGAGAGTACTTTAATGAGAAAAATAAGTATTGATATATATGTCTTTAAATTAAAAAATAGTCAATGTGGTACTAAACCCACACTAGTGCTTAATAATAGATTTTTATTTTTTATAATTAAAATATCATTTACTTATAAGAAAGAAATGCCTTTGTGATGTCACAAAATAAAGGTATGCAGGCAATTTGCACTTTCTCTCATGCAATTGATTGATTGGTGAGGATTCAAATCTTAGTATCAAAATTTATCTTTTTATCTAATTAAATCATGATTTTTTAGTAGAACACCAGTCAATAATTTAATTATTAGAATTACTTGATCATTGACAAAAAATTAATCAATGTTATTGATAAATCAACGAACAAGTTCTCATCAACAAGAGGATGATCCACTGAGAGATGATTCACCATCTCCTAAGAACGTACAAAATGTGATAAAGAGCCTCCTTTTTATTAAATTTATAAACTTCATTGAGGATCTACAATGAGAGTCTTTAAAATTGTGCACATCGCAATGTAATCATTTTGTAAACTCACAATTTTGACGATTGCCACTACATCACCAAAACTTTGTCTTTCCTATTTTGAACTTATTTTTTCACTTAAATTAATGATATGTTATGTGATTTTAAGTTTCAAAAATATTATTTGGTCAATTACTATTTTTCTCATTGTTACAAATCTTAATTTGATTATTTAAATCATCTCTAAACAATTACATTAAAATTGTTGGATGTACTTTGTTTTCGCCTAAATTGTGTTCATCAAAGTGTTCATGACATCTTCACATCTACACCCAAATTTTTAAACATATTCTTTCATCATTATTTAGTCTAAAATCATAACATAGCATATTATTTGAGAAAAATTTAATTTTTTTATCAAAAATTCAAATTATAATGAATTTATTTATATTAAAATATTTTTAAAATCTAAAAAATAGTATTTTTTAGCTATATATATTTTCAATTGCGTGAGTTATTATATAAGGATTAGGTCACGTCAAGATCTCAAACACATCTCACAAGTAAATCATAATGGCAATTAGTATTAGGCATTTGTTATTTAGGATTTTCAACCATTATTAAGTGGCAATGCCAATTGACAATTGAGTTAATCATAATGAGTTTGGTTTTTGCGAGATGTAGTCTTGAATCCAAAAGTGGATGGATGTTATTTCCTCAATTAGTATATTCCTAAAATAATAAAATCAAAATCTTTAAAATTGTATATACATATATCTATATATATATTAGTACAATAAAATTGAATATCAAATATAATTTGAGAATAAATTGGAGAGTATTTAATGGGCCATGCGTCCAAATGCCCAAAGATGGCCAACTCATATGTTTTGGGCCTTGTAAATAAACTCGATCTCAATAACCTAAAACAGGCCTTCTGAGGACGCTCGGCAGATTGTTGGGTTGCCATTTGGCTTCCCCCTCTACTCCACTCGTGGCCTTCTCTCTACATTCTGCTCCACAAAGGTTGGACAGATTGTATGGAGTTTCTTTAGATTAGTTAATGACAGAGAATTCTGGGGGGCTGGGAACGTAGTAACGAGAACAGGGGATGACTAATTTTATTTTTTTAATCATTTAACCATTTCATTTCTATAATGTAGAAAATTTCCTCAGAGCTTTTTACAGCAGGAGAAAGTGGGCGTTGGTTGTGGACTTCAGACCAGGGGGCCGCCTGTGACGAACTCGGTGAAGGCGAGGGCCACGAGGCCGAGCATGGCGAACCTGCCGTTCCACATCTCCGCGTCGGAGGTCATCAGCCCCGCGGAGCGGGACTCGGCCGTCACCCCCTTGAACAACGGCACCAGCGACGCCAGTGACAGAACCGACGCCGTCGCCACGAACCACGGCACCCCCGCGCCCTCCGCCACCTGCGCCGCGAGGCCTGTCCCCCTCGCCAGCTCCACCCCCAGTGCCGCCACGAACCCCACCATGGCTAGCCTCCCGTTGATCCTCTCCGGCGCCGGCCCCCCGAACGCCAGTACGTCCGAGAACTTGGTGCTCACCACCGCCTTCGGCCGAGCCGGCGGGGGGGAGGACGGCGACGACGCTGCATCCGAGGCAAAAGTGGAAGACGACGGGTTCTCCTGCGGTTTCTCCTGTACCAGAAAAAAGGGGAAGGAAACGCACGCCCGGGGGGGGGAAGCCCGATCAGTAAGGAGGTAGAGAAAACAGCATTCAAGCTGGGATAGGCGGCTGTAGCAATGAGGGAGGGTCCGTCCCGGTGGCCTACCTCGGCCTGGCTCCGGACCCGGAAGGAGGCTGCGCGGCGGCTGGAGAGACGAGGCAGCGCTGCGGCGGAGTGGCTCCTGCGGCTACCGGCGCTGGAGGACAGGGAGACGGAAACTACGGAGGACATGGGCGCAGCTGAGAGTGCCATTTTTCTCTCTGTTTCTTTCTCTACCGCCTCCTTCTGCTAGGTCGAAATCGGAGGGAAGGATTGCTACTAACGGCTGCTGGGTTC